CCATATGGAATAAATCCTGGTGAATAAATTAAAGTCGATTCTCGCGACTTTTTGTTGTTGTAAACTCTGCATCATGATTGGAAAATGCGCAACTAAAATTATTTTAAATGACATTACGAAAATAATAAAAATACAAAAACAAGCAAAATTAATTTAGAAACATGGCAATAAAAAGTAAAAGATCTTTTTCAGCCCAGTGGCATATGGGGGCAGACAGATCCATACTGTTAGATCTACTGGCATTTGGTCAGGGTAAAATATATTTTTAAAATCTAACATGATGCAGATTTGAACCCAGGATTTTCAGACAGGCAAGCAAAGCATCTAGTCACTACACCAGAGCAGTTCCCAAACATGCCATGTACAGATATCATCCACTGTAACCATATTATCACACTGGATGTAAAAAACATGGTCACAGGATTTAGAAGGATCAATAATAGAAGGTGCAGTTTCTGAAGAGGCAGGGGAAGTCCAGAACAAAAGTGGACTGAGGATTACAGGCAGGTTGGACATGAAACTGCTGAGGCAGGGAAACCAACATACTGGCTGGTCCTGCTGCAATGGACCTGTGAGGTTTCATGTTGCAACAGAAAATGGGGAATGAATAAAACAACTGTTTAATTTGCTGGTGCTTAGATGGACAGAAGGAAAAAAATGGAAGGATAGAATCAGTAAGGGGAAGCTTAGGGAGGGACCAGAAAAAATTCAAAGGAATCAAGAGGTGAGGATAAGATGCTAGCTCTGGATAGGACCCATGCTGAGAATACCTGACATTATGAGAAGAATGTCAATTTGCTGGACCTACAAGGCAGGAATAACCAAAAACTTGCAGCCCGTGTAGGCCCAACAAATGACCGGTGTAGGCCTAACAAATGACCGGTGTAGGCACAACAAATGACCAGTGTAGGCCTAACAAATGACCGGTGTAGGCCTAACAAATGACCGGTGTAGGCCTAACAAATGACCGGTGTAGGCCTAACAAATAGCCGGTGTAGGCCTAACAAATAGCCGGTGTAGGCCCAACAAATGGCCGGTGTAGGCCTAACAAATGGCCGGTGTAGGCCTAACAAATGGCCAGTGTAGGCCTAACAAATGACCGGTGTAGACCTAACAAAGGGCCAGTGTAGTCTTAACAAATGACCGGTGTAGGCCTAACAAATGGCCAGTGTAGGCCTAACAAATGATCGGTGTAGGCCCAACAAATGGCCGGTGTAGGCCCAACAAAGGGCCAGTGTAGGCCCAACAAATGACCGGTGTAGGCCCAACAAATGGCCGGTGTAGACCCAACAAAGGACCAGTGTAGGCCCAACAAATGACCGGTGTAGGCCCAACAAATGGCCGGTGTAGGCCCAACAAATGACCAGTGTAGCCCAACAAATGGCCGGTGTACCAACAAATGGCCGGTGTAGGCTCAACAAATGACTGGTGTAGGCCCAACAAATGGCCGGCATAGGCCCAACAAATGGCCGGCATAGGCGAACAAATGGCCCGCGGATCAATGCAAACTGTATTGTGTTAAAGATCTCTCTATGCTTGGCTTCAGCACGTGACAATTCCCATTTTCAACATTTTGGCCCGAGAGTAAACTCAGTTGAACAGCCGTGCTATAGGGTGAAAATACAGTTGGAGACCTAAAGCATACAGAGAAGAGAAGCAGGGTCATAAATTATTTAATAAGGTATGACATGGAGTGGGATGACATGAAAGAAGTGAGTGGGATGACATCGAGTGAGTGGGATGATGTGGAGTCAGTGGGATGACACGGAGTCAGTGGGATAACACAGAGTCAATGGGATGACATGGAGTCAGTGGGACATGGAGTCAGTGGGACATGGAGTCAGTGGGGTGACACAGAGTCAGTGGGATGACACAGAGTCAGTGGGGTGACATGGAGTCAGTGGGATGACATGACATGGGGTCAGTGGGATCAGTGGGATGACACGGAGTCAGTGACAAGACATGGCAGAGGACAGAACAGCTAAATGAGTTGCTAAAATCCAATGGGGTATAAAGGACACAAGAAAGGCATCTTGATAACTGAAACTGATAAAAGCACATAATACACCACTTGCCTCACTTCCCTCAACAGAAAACAAACAACAGCACATACTCTCTAGCAGACACTCTATAAATTACAATTCATGGGAATATTACAACCAGAAACAAACTTCAACAAAGATATCCATGCAATGGGGACACTTCTTAGGATGATAACAAAATATATTCATTTATCTAGTTCCATTGAGCAATTATAAAATAATGTATTAGCATGATGAAAGCTCCGACAGGTGGACAGAGAGAGCACTGCACTTCTGATCCGGCAGCTTCTGCAGCATGCTTACTTCTGGTGTTACCTTTCTTTGGAGTAAACAAGGCAGGCCTAGAGAAGGATCATGATGCATGGATAATACGTGGTCTCTACAATACTGGCAAGGTTGTGATGAAATGTAGAGAATGAACATGATCCCTCCTTATAGGCATGCCATATATTTTACTACACAGAGGTGGTTTCATTCAATAACGTCATGAGTCAAGGTAGTATTACTGCTGGTAGGGTCTGAAGTGTTCATCCTTAACATATAGTAGGTTACGACATATAAGGTGGGGTGCTATCATCCTGGTCTGAAGAAAATGGTGCTGCAAGAAGTGACCAGGGGATCAGGGGAATGATCAGCACTCAGAGGAGAGGTTAGATGGATATACAATCAGATTGCTATTGGTACCAGTGGAGTTAGAACTGTCCATTTGCTGCTGAAGATAAGGACTGAGCGCTAATGGGAATGTCCAGTGCTGTGATGTCGATTCTTAATTAAACATCATAAAGGAGTGAGATAGAGAAAAAGTAGGGAACTGGAAATGTCCCGAGTGCTGTGATGTCAATTCTTAATTAAACATCATAAAGGAGTGAGATAGAGAAAAAGTAGGAAACTGGAAATAAGAGTTTTATCTTTAGGTTAAGTTCTGGGTTTAACCTTAAAGAGTAAGTTCTGGGTTTCACTCTTAGTGTTAGTTTTATGTCCGGTGTTTTTACTTTTTTTTTTTTTTTTTATGTATCAGATATATATATATATATATATTTATCTGATGAGACTAGGCTAGCCTGAGAGACGTGCCAGTCAGAAAACAGAGCCACCACAAACAGGGCCTGAACCTGGACTATTGTACCAGTAGCTAAGTGAAGTAACTAGTTCGGCCACCACATGGAAATAACAACTGTGACCACCACAAGTAGTAACGAGTGCAGCAGCCACAGGTAGTAACTACTGCAGCCACCACAGGTAATAACTACTGCAGCCACCACAGGTAGTAACTACTGCAGCCACCACAGGTAGTAACTACTGCAGCCACCACAAGTAGTAACTACTGCAGCCACCACAAGTAGTAACTACTGCAGCCACCACAGGTAGTAACTGCTGCAGCCACCACAGGTAGTAACTACTGCAGCCACCACAGGTAGTAACTACTGCAGCCACCACAGGTAGTAACTACTGCAGCCACCACAGGTAGTAACTACTGCAGCTACCACAGGTAGTAACTACTGTAGCCACCACAGGTAGTAACTGCTGTAGCCACCACAGGTAGTAACTACTGTAGCCACCACAGGTAGTAACTGCTGTAGCCACCACAGGTAGTAACTACTGCAGCCACCACAGGTAGTAACTACTGCAGCCACCACAGGTAGTAACTACTGCAGCCACCACAGGTAGTAACTGCTGCAGCCACCACAGGTAGTAACTACTGTAGCCACCACAGGTAGTAACTACTGCAGCCACCACAGGTAGTAACTACTGCAGCCACCACAGGTAGTAACTACTGCAGCCACCACAGGTAGTAACTACTGCAGCCACCACAGGTAGTAACTACTGCAGCCACCACAGGTAGTAACTACTGCAGCCACCACAGGTAGTAACTACTGCAGCCACCACAGGTAGTAACTACTGCAGCCACCACAGGTAGTAACTACTGTAGCCACCACAGGTAGTAACTACTGCAGCCACCACAGGTAGTAACTACTGCAGCCACCACAGGTAGTAACTACTGTAGCCACCACAGGTAGTAACTGCTGTAGCCACCACAGGTAGTAACTACTGCAGCCACCACAGGTAGTAACTACTGTAGCCACCACAGGTAGTAACTACTGCAGCCACCACAGGTAGTAACTACTGTAGCCACCACAGGTAGTAACTACTGTAGCCACCACAGGTAGTAACTGCTGTAGCCACCACAGGTAGTAACTACTGTAGCCACCACAGGTAGTAACTACTGCAGCCACCACAGGTAGTAACTACTGCAGCCACCACAGGTAGTAACTACTGCAGCCACCACAGGTAATAACTACTGCAGCCACCACAGGTAGTAACTACTGCAGCCACCACAGGTAGTAACTACTGCAGCCACCACAGGTAGTAACTACTGTAGCCACCACAGGTAGTAACTACTGTAGCCACCACAGGTAGTAACTACTGCAGCCACCACAGGTAGTAACTACTGCAGCCACCACAGGTAGTAACTACTGCAGCCACCACAGGTAGTAACTACTGCAGCCACCACAGGTAGTAACTACTGCAGCCACCACAGGTAGTAACTACTGCAGCCACCACAGGTAGTAACTACTGCAGCCACCACAGGTAGTAACTACTGCAGCCACCACATGGAAGTAACTACTGCAGCCACCACAGGTAGTAACTACTGCAGCCACCACAGGTAGTAACTACTGTAGCCACCACATGGAAGTAACAACCGAGACCACCACAGCTCATATTTCATTCAGGCCTAGCCATGTATTCATTGTGTACAAAAAACACTCTTCACTGACAGAAACTAAGCATGGCTATTGTGCTTTTGAGACAGTCGATATGTCAGACTCTGGTAATGATAACATTTTCCCTGACATTCTCCTAAGCACCAGTCTGGACCTTTAAACAAGTAACTACACTTTTCTAAAGACCAGCTGGCACAACAAGAAAACCATGTGTGGTTTACGAACACAGCACATTTTATAACACACCCATGACTTCAAATTCTCCATATTTCTTGGACAGCTGTTCCTCTTCAAATTTGTGCAGCTCTGAAGGTGTGCTGGACTTCCACAGGTCAACTGAATGAGGTCTCTCCCGTTTCGGATGTTTATGTTGTGGCCTCTGCTGGGCGAGCTGATGCCCTGGCTGGGCAAGTATATGCCCTGGCAGTGGCATACCAACACGGTGTTTCTGCTCTATGTACATGATGCTGGCTGTGTTGTTGTTGTAGGCGTCAGGATGAGGAACAATCCTTGCTGCAGTGTGGTAGAGGGCAGCCACATTTTGATTCAGCTGCTGAGAGTGGTAGTGGGGATACTGAAGATGGTGCTGGTAACTGTGCTGAGACAGCATCTGTGACTGCTGCAGATGATGGTAGCTGTACTGAGATGTTGGTTGGGACGGCTGAACTTGACTTAATGATCTGATGGAGTTTAAAGAAGAGCTTGGTTTTACTGTCAGGAACAGTTTGGGCAAATCTGACGGCAGCCTGTTGCTGATCTGCTCCTCCACGTGTTCATTAGCTGAACTGCTGTGATGGTCGCTGCCGGTGGCCATGTAGACATCGCTGTGCTGATGGTTGCTGCCGGCTGAGGAGGACTGGTGGGTGTGACTGCTGCTGTCAGAGCTCCGATGGCTGTTGCTGTCATGGCTACTGAGTGCATCACTGTTCTCACTGGTGGAGGTGGAAGGACTGGATGTTGGGACTTCATCTGATTGTTTCTCAGGGTTTTTAGGAGAATTGAACCCACTGTCTAAAACAAAATTTATCACTGACAATGTCAGCATGCTGACCTGAAAGAGCAGCCTGTGTGTGTGCTTGAGTGTTTGCATCACTACCACTGCAAGCACCAGGGCGGGCACCTTCCTGATCATGCTTATTTTCTGAATCCAGAGCAGTTTCTGCAGCAGAAACAATCTGATCATTATACTCACCAAATTTTTTTTTAGAATTACTGCTAACCAAAGACTGTTTCCCATCTTCATATTTACAGTCTCCTACATTGGTATTTGAGGTTGCTTCCTGCATATCTTTTGATATAACCTGTTCTGAAACACCCGATGCATCTTCTGCAACTGAACCGACAACAACAGTATCAATAGCACTATGAAGCTCTACCACATCCTGAGAAGCTATACGGTCAATTTCCGATTTGCACGCCATTGCATTTAGTGATATTAGATCCATGCCGGTTTCAGAATAAAAGGCACTCTGTAAAGAGTTATGGTGTAAATGCATTTCAGTGGACTCCAGGTTGGAGTTTGTGATTGTATGGTAGACAACTGAGGACCCAAGAGGGGCATCTGTGATGCTACTACAGTAAACCACAGAGTTGTAAGCTGGGTTTGTCATGTCACTTTGATATATTAAGGAATTAGTGGCAGAATCAGCAGCACTGAAAACATTGGCATTTGTGGCTTCGCTGGCAGTGGTACTGTTGATCATGAAGTGAACGTGGTTGCCTGCTGTTTGAGGCTGACTGCTTGGATGATGTCTACCATGATAAACCCGTGCTACATTTTTACAGGACGCCGTCTCATACACAGCACCAGCTTGTCTTTTGTCTTTGCTTTCTGGCATGGCCAGCCCCACACAGTTGACACCGCTATCTTTAGAGTGAGTACGAGACGAGTTCTTATTTGGAAGTCGACCCTTGTACTCATAACTGATATCATCCCCATTACCATCATAATAACTGTACATTCTATGAGGTCGCCTTCGTGTTCTGTGGGACTTCCTTCTCTGAGAATAATCTGATGGCCCATAAATCTTATCCTTTGATTCCAGGCCATCAGTTCTGTGTGTTGCCCGCTCAGTTTGTTCTTCGTAGCGTGGTGTTGAATGAAGAGGTCCCGACTTTGGCTCAATCAACTTAGTATATGTGCTTTCGTCGCTAATATGTGCCACCGGCGACAAAGCTGAAACTGACCGTATAACATTTGATTCATGAAGTGTGCTGGCATCGTCCTGGTCGATGACAGCGTATTCGGACTGTTTCCTGTCTTCATGTAAATGTTCAAATTCCCGAGACTTTCGATGATGCATATGGTGTTTAACCCCTGGTGGGTTGCGCAAACTGTGATAAAACCTATCAGGTCTAAGTGGGTGCGGTTTCGCAAAATCTCCACTAGTCACTTGGCGAACAACTTCACTAGTTGAGGTCATGCCATCTTTATGGCCACCCGCTGAGTTCATGGCCGCTATGTAGTCTAACACCTCCGGGTTGGCAGGTCTGAGAGCTTTCTCTGTGCCATGCTGGTGGTATTCTACTGAAGCCACTTGTCTGATCCCTGTTGGTGGTCGAGATGTGACCTTGACCGACTGTGTATGACTGACAACTTTAGTGCTTTGCTGGCAAACCCAGGTCTCGATTCGTTTTTGCTTCTCCAACTGCTGATGGTACCACACCCACTCAGGGGGAGGGAACTGTGCTGAAAATGTTCCATATTCTTTCTCTCCCTTTCCCTCGCTGACTGTATCAGAGCTGGGTGTCGCTACTAGGACTCGTGGAGGGGGTGGAGGTGGAGGAGGCATCAGAGCTTTATCCTTGTCTTTGTGTTTTTTCTTGCGGCTGAATAGCTTTGCAAATAATGAAGTTTTCTCACCTGCAAAAAGAATCAGAGAAAAATGTTACTGTATACAGAAAAAAGGTTTGTCAAACAAATATAAGATCAGAAACTCCCTGTGTGGATTCTAGGTCCCATTTTGAGGGGAAGGTATAGACCCACTGCCTCAACCAAAGAGCACATCATAAAAGGGAACTAATTAGGGATTTTGTCCTCGAAATCTGCCTTAGCAGCAAGGTACTAACAGCCTGCATACAAACAGGCCAGATCTGTAAAACAGATGTGCACGCCAAAATCAAGTTCTGGATCAAGACTGAAGGCCAGAAGTGGACAAACTTCCAGAACTTTCACTGGAGTTTACACCAGGTAAACGCTAAGAAGAAGAAGAAATCAGTAACAAAATCCATGAACAACTCATCACCATCATGTGCCCTGCTGAAAATTGTAGGCGGTCATAATTTGCCATCCCACAAATCACCAGAATCCCAGATCAAGTCAGTGCTCTTTCTTGTGTGTCGAATCTGTATTAAGTTCAGAATACATATAGTGTTGGAAAATCCAGTGTAGAAGGGTTAACACTCAGCTAACGCAAGAGTTTGACTGTACAGAGCAGTGTCCAAGAGTGAAGTAAGAATCACCGTGAGGGGAATTAAACCCTTTCATAACCGACCAGCTACACATGGATCTACATGGCACAAAGATCTATCTTGAATGATTTAAACAATGTACTGACTTGGCCATCCCATAAACCTTGAATGATTTAAACAATGTACTGACTTGGCCAACCCATAAACCTTGAATGATTTAAACAATGTACTGACTTCCCCATCCCATACACCTTGAATGATTTAAACAATGTACAGACTTGGCCATGCCATACACCTTGAATGATTTAAACAATGTACTGACTTGGCCATCCCATACACCTTGAATGATTTAAACAATGTACTGACTTAGCCATCGCATACACCTTGAATGATTTAAACAATGTACAGACTTGGCCATCCCATACACCTTGAATGATTTAAACAATGTACTGACTTAGCCATCGCATACACCTTGAATGATTTAAACAATGTACAGACTTGGCCATCCCATACACCTTGAATGATTTAATCAATGTATTGACTTAGCCATCGCATACACCTTGAATGATTTAAACAATGTACAGACTTGGCCATGCCATACACCTTGAATGATTTAAACAATGTACAGACTTGGCCATCCCATACACCTTGAATGATTTAAACAATGTACTGACTTCCCCATCCCATACACCTTGAATGATTTAAACAATGTACTGACTTCCCCATCCCATACACCTTGAATGATTTAAACAATGTACTGACTTCCCCATCCCATACACCTTGAATGATTTAAACAATGTACTGGTCATCACATACACCTTGAATGATTTAAACAATGTACTGGCCATCCCATAAACCTTGAATGATTTAAACAATGTACTGACTTGGCCATCCCATACACACTGAATGATACAAAACTTAACTAAACACTGACATATTTTAATAATAATATTATTAAAAATAATTATACACAACTATGAATTTAACACAGAAAGTCATAGGTTCATTTCATGCATTGTTTAATTCATGAGTGTGGTTTTTACAGAAATTACTGGGGATCATTGCTGGAGCAACAGTGTTTGTGGTTTGTGCAATGCTCTCAGCAGGTTGCGGGCCGTTCTGTGGAGCCTCATAGGATAACCTAGGGCAATGAAGTGAATAGTCTCTTAACTTTTAAAATTATAAACATCAGGAATTACAAATTACAGCACAGACAGACAGACAGACAGACACACACACAATATACCTTTCTCCTTGCCCTTGTTTGCATCACTTGTTTTAAGTTTCACTTCTGCTACTGCTTTAGACTTATCATTTTTCACTTTCACAGAAGACGAACGCTTTAACTCCCCTCCATCATCTGTGTTGACTTTGTTGTCCCGTTTCACATTTTTTGAAGATTTTATATCATCTTTACCCTCCCGGCGTTTCAGACTGTCCGACCGAGATGACTTTGCATCATAGCCAGGCTTTTCCAGCCTGTCATGGGTTTTCTTCTTATCTTTTACATCTTCCTCCTCAGATGATTCTTCGATAGTTGTGACCTGAAAAACAGCAGATAACATCAATTACAAAGCACTGTTCTGTCAAGCTGAAGCCTAGACTACTAACCATTCCTCCTCCGCAAGGTTTATCAGCAAAAGTGGAAGTTGATGACACACAATGAAAGCAGAGCTGTCCCCCGTGTGGGTTCCGGGGCCCCATTGTGGGGAAAACAAGAATAGACCCACTGCCTCCCCAAAAGCATGTCGTAAGAGTCGACTAATTGGGAAGCTTCCTTTGAAGTCGGAGTGCATCTGCCGGAGAGGCAAGGAACCAACAGTCTGTATTCAAGAGAATGAGATCTGTAAAACTGATGCACACGCAACACTCAGGTTCTGGAGCAGGACTGCAGTTCAGTAGTGGACGAGCAACCAGAACCTTCCGCCAGAGTTTACAGCTGGTGAACGTGAAGAAGAAGAAGAGAAGAAGAAGAAACCAGAGCATACCTGGTTTAAAAAAAAACTGCCAATGGACAACATAAGAAGAGGTGAGATAAACCCTATAATGATTCTGCAGTTTTCTAACACTGTCTTCTTCTTACCGTTCACCAGCTGTAAATTCTGGCAGAAGGTGTTCTGGTTGTTTGTCCACTTCTGGACTTTGATCTAGTTTCAGAACTTGATTTTGTGTGCACATCTGTTTAACAGACTTGGTTTATTAGTATGCAGACTGCTGGTTCCTAAGCTTTCAGCCAGGTGCATTCTGACTGTGAAGGAAACACCCCCAATAAGTCGACTACTTGTCAGAGGACAGTGGGTCCTTCTTTTTCCCAGAAAGAAGGCTTCAGAGCTCACATGGGAATTCTAATACATATCTTTTTATTTTCCACCTACCCAAGCTGCTGTCTGAAAGTTTGACCTCCCTGAGATTATATAAATCTCAATCAACATGGCGGTGACAGCCATTAAGTTTAGCCACTCCTGCGATATGTTCCACTTTTCTCTTAAGAAGCGCTTTTTTTCTCCTCACCTTGGGGACCCAAACACCTAGGGGACTGAACTGTCAACACAATTTCATCTAAAATTCTTGTGCTATGGCCCTTGACACTCCTAGGATATTTAGCCTTGGGCCACATGTGTCTCTTCATTCCACTGGCAAGACATCAACATGACTGCTTCGAGATATGTCAGTAAATGTGATTTTCTGTATTCTTGTGGTTTTGTTTGATTTATGTATGTGTTGATGAAGGATCTATAGCCACAACATTCACTTTTTTTTTCATGTTTGCAATATTGTGAAGCTCGTCAATCTACTTTTTGTTTGGTTTTACATCATTCCAAATCTCAATACAGGCAGCAAGCAAAGAGGGCAAACCTAAAAAAAAAACAGTTATAATTGGGGGCACCAGTAATGATATTGATGCCTTTTAATATCATCGTTATCATCATCAAGTGCCTTGATAACTGGCCTCTTCCCAGCCTGCAATCTCCAACAGCATAAATCAATTTGTGCACTGACACCCCTCTATGACATGACAAAAGGTTTATCAAGAATCTCATCACGTTGTCTTCCTTTACCTCTCATTCCAGAGAGATCTTTCCAGTGGTTACAACATGTTTCAGGTTCCCCTTCTCATAACATGGCCAGCCAGCTAGTCGTGCGCCTCTTTCTGATGTTTGGTATAAATAATTTTTTATTACCAATAAGCATGATACATTCAGAGGAGCGCCCCTGATGTACCGCCTAGAAGCTTGCCTGCAGATCCTAAGATTGTGGGTTCCAAACCCCACAGGGCCAGATTTTATTCCACACATGACCCAGCTAAAAACAGGCAGCAGATAAAGTCGTGGAAAGTAAAGGCGGATGGCGTGATGTTGACCTCATCACCCATTAAAGGCCTGTAGAAAAAATATGGTCTAGTCTCATATGTCTGATGCGTCACTGGCGTGTAAAGGGACCGTTACTTACTTTTACTTTGATGATGTATCAGAGACACATACCAAGTCTAGTCTCATATGTCTGATGCGTCACTGGTGTGTAAAGGGACCGTTACTTACTTTTACTTTGATGATGTACCAGAGACACATACCAAGTGTGGTTCTCATATGTTTGATGTGTCACTGCATGTAAAGGGACCGTTACTTACTTTTACCTTTATGATGTATCAGACACATGTACCAAGTCTAGCATATGTCTGATGAGTCAGTGGCGTGTAAAGGGACCGTTACTAACTTTTACCTTGAGGATGTATCAGAGACACAAACCAAGTAACTGTTCTGTCTGCTTTCTTACCTGACATGAAATAGACCTCATGTGTGATTTGGAGGGTAACAACATCGGCTGCGGCGCCACCTGTCCTTGAAAGACCGGCACATACATAGGGTGGTAGGGCAGCCAGGAGGCGTTTGTGGGGATGTAGCCAGAGTTGGGATCACTGTGCAGCCTGTTGGTGTCTGGGGTCACCACAAAATAGCCACTGCCTGTCAAAAGAAGAAAGATAATTACAGCAAACTGAATGAGATAAACAAGCATAGTTTATTACTTCAACGTTAAAAATCCAGCAGACACAGTTGATTATTTCAATGCTTTTCTTCTTCTTCCCTTCCTCTTTTAACACTCTGAGTGCTGAAGGAGATATACTAAGTTCTGCTTCTTGCTCTTCTGGCCGCCTGGACCACAAACATGTCGTGATTATTATTCAAATGTTAGGGATCCAAAAAATGGTTCATTATTCCGACGTTAGCGATTCAACAGATAGTTTATTATTCCAATATTAGCAATAATTTGTGCAGCTCTGCGGCTAAAAAAAATAATCAAATCGTTTCATAACCCAAACCTTGCATGTATCTGGGTTTGATTCCCCTATTAAGTAGTTTAGAAAAATACCGCTCTTGTGGCTTTCGATCAGAGATAAAAGAGTTGTATTGTGGAAGATAATGGAGCCTCGTCATGTGTCATCCACAAAGTCAGAAGTGGAAACATCCCTGTGTGAGTTCTAGAATCCCAGTGTGGGGAAAGCAAGAATTGACCCCTGCCTCTCCCCAACAAGCATGTTGTAAGAGTCTACAAACTGGGAGCTTTTTTCGAAAACCTAGTTTGAAAAAAAAAAAAATACTAAAATACTAAAATAAAAACAAATGACATAATTGGGGGGGGGGGGAGTTGGGTCGTTTTGCGATTAATCTACTTACTGCCCATGCAGCACTATAGTTGTGGATGGTAAGGCGCTGAGTAACAAGTTGTGGATTAAGATGATTGCTGGAATGTTTTAGCCGATTGGTTTGTTCAATGGATCAAGATCATGGCACACGGGTGTAACCCATAAGTGCTCCGTTCTACTTCTAACGTAAGCGTTAGTCTGAAGAATCTCAGCGCAGTGCACGAATTCTGTTGCACCAGCGAGGATCCTGAAATACTGTGGGTAGATTTTTAACTACAATTTTTTTCCCCGGGCAGCGCCGTTAGGCTACTCTTTATCGATTTCCAACTGTCAAGGTTTTTTTTTTTTTAACTTGCGCAACAATGCAAACGGGCGTTTGATCTCACTACCCAGAAACCAGAGGAAATTACTTTAAGTCCACGTGAAAAAATCTGAGCCTTCACCGGGGTTTGAACCCAGGACTCCAGCACTCGAGGCGAATGCTATATTTTGAGTCAATTTTCCTATCTCAAGCAAGGGGCATAACCTGTGACTTACGTACCTTCACCTTTTCATAAATTTGTTTAAGGCGGTGCGGGGTGGGGAAGGGTTGGAACCATTTACATAAGTTCTCTTTAGTGTATTTGTTTATGCATTTTAAATTATTTAGTTACTAAAGTTAAAGTCTTAAAATTTGCATTCTATATATATATATATATATATACTAGAATGTCGTTGTATTGGAACAACCTACATGGGTATAGAAGAAAAAAAAACACGGAGAAGGGAACTAAAAAATGTAGTTCCCTTCTCCGTGCGTTTTTATTTCTATACCCCATATGGATTCCAATACTAGATAATGTAGTTAAAAAGATAGGGTGGACAAGGGTTGAGCTGCAAACAACAACAAAGGATAGGTCAACCTGGTTGAGTTGGTGGACAGCCTACGCTCCACTGGAAGATAAGGCCGGGAGGGGGAGGGGGGAGAGAGAGAGAGAGAGAGAGAGAGAGAGAGAGAGAAGAGAGAGAGAGACAGTCTTAAAACAACACATTGTGTCCCTGACCTTATATGCCAGCTGTTGCTGCCCTCAAAACACATACGAACACATACACGCTTAGTAACCACTTAATATTCCTCATCTTGCCACCTTCTTACTCTGAATTATCCCACCCCTCAGGAAGCGGTGCCGCCCACTTTGCACACTACGGGTCCATCTGTACGTTTTCGCCCTCAAACTACATACTGATGAAAGCTTGTGAGCCGTTACTGCCTGCTTAAGTTAAACAGTCGTGCACAACGATGCTCATAAACGGCCAGGCAGAGTCAAAAAACAAGCGACGAAGAGCAGATAATAATTAAGTGATTACTAGAACAGGGCGGTAACACAAAAGAGGCATAAAAAGGGGAACCCATAAATACCAGAGCACCGGGAAGATCGGGTCGTAAATCTGGTTTCCGGGGTTCACCTGCAACCTGCCCCTCTAAAACCTAGCGCTCATGAATACTCCGCTCCAGGCGCGGAGGTTCCCCTCCTGGCAAGTTGCGAAAACTGTCTAGCTGGGCGCCCGGACCAATTATTCTGTCAGGACGAGCAGGCGAAGGGCTAGAATTGTGTAGAGTGTTAACTAGCTACAGTGAATTAATCAAGTAACAGAAAGTATTGTGAACGGCACTCATAGAAAGAAGTAGAAAGATAGAAGGCACTGAATGGAAACTTCATCCTTGTCCAGGGGCGCCGAAACCTGTAAGTGGGAAGGGGAGCGCGGGTCCTGCGCAAATTGATAAGGTCGTAGTTTGTATTCAGTGGACTTTTACGGTTACTGACGCTTAGAACATTTGCAAAGAGGCTAAATAACACAACACCCCCCCCCCCCTTTCCACCTTTTCCCCCATAGATAGACGTTCTTTTGTAAGTATTTGTTTACATGTGTCATATTATTTCCAATATATTATTAGGTTTTTAGCTATTCAGGATATAATTATAATAATTATTATTGAACACTTAACCACGCCCCTTCAGTACTTTCCCATATAAAATTATAAAGCGCCCCGCACCCCCCTAATTCTTTGTTGCCCCTGTTCTGCCTTTTTAAAACACTATGCGTACCTCTTTCCAATTTATCAATGATCAGTCCCTTTCTTTTCTTCTTGTTCTCCGCCCTTCCACTTGTCAATTTCATCCACCATTAGTTTCCCTACTACTACATGTACACATCACTACCCTTCTATATGCCTTACCAATACATGAGGCAAATTGGTAAACAAAAATGAAGAGGTAAACTTCTAACGGCTGTCGTTTCTTAGTCGTTAGCTGAAGACCCATCTTCACTTCAGACCGGTAAATGTATAAGGCAGCTGCCAGATATGCCAACACTAACAGACCCACACCATAACTGCAGTTCACTGTTGATGGAGAGCAGTCCATAACGAAAAGCGACAGTGTATACACAATGCTGCATAAGTACACGTCATTCCGAACGTAGTCAGCCATCAGCCAATTTTTAATGCAGATCACACGAACGTACTGTCGTTTCTCAAGTAGAGACAGTCACACTTGCGCGACAGCTGGGCACAACCGACTGTAAATCTTTGAAACCTGTGGTAAGATGGTAACACCGCCTTCTCCAGATAAATAGAGTCGGCCGTGGATGGTAATATACACAGCGGCTTCACAGTCGACAATCTCGTGGACCTAATTGCCTTGGTCGCCAAGAGGTGGTGCTTGTGGGAGGTGGTGCTTGTGGGAGGTGGTGCTTGTGGGAGGTGGTGCTTGTGGCAGATTTGATATAGAGCACAGACGAGAAATGGAAGCCGCCGTGGTGTAGGAGTTAGAGCAGAGCTATTTAACTGGAATGTATACCTCGTTTCTGTTTACAACTTGACCCCCAATACAATGCTTGTTAGCGCCAGTGAGTAGACAGGCTGCCTTATAAGTACTCTTTTGTAAACACCAGGGGAATATAAACCGAAGAATTAATGAACAGGTATTTGAGGTGGCGGTCGCTGCTGCTATTACTACTACAACACCACAGCGAGTCCCCACTCGATATACTGCTTTATCAGATTTCCAGAACTTACTCATATGAGAGAGAGAGAGAGAGAGAGAGAGGAGAGAGAGAGAGAGAGAGAGAGAGAGAGAGAGAGAGAGAGAGAGAGAGAGAGAGAGAGAGCGATAGAGAGAGATAGAGAGAGGGAGAGAGAGAGAGAGGGGGGGGGGGAAATAACGGTTTTACAACGCAACGTCAAATTTCCCATTTTCTAACACCAAGAAAGAAAAAAGCGAATAACCGAGCCAACGATTACACCTTCAGAAGGTGTAAACATGCAGAAAACAGAAACTTCCCGTTTAAATCTTTAAAACCCGATCCTGAATTCTCTACCTGGGTCTGGTTGTGTCTGGCGGCAACCAATTTTTCATTGCGTCACGCTGCGTTAAGTGATGCCTGTGAAAGCAATCATGCCATCACCAATGACAGGGGTAATTTCAAATGTGACTTCCACCATATTATTGTCCAATAAACACTCATACGGACGCCCAGACATACACACATGCATCAGTATGTTAGATTACTTACATGTATGTGTTCGTATAGCTACCGACTGAACAGGCATACTCACATTCATCAGTATGTTAGATTACTTACATGTATGTGTACGTATAGGCTACCGACTGAACAGGCATACTCACATTCATCAGTATGTTAGATTACTTACATGTATGTGTACGTATAGCTACCGACTGAACAGGCATACTCACATTCATCAGTATGTTAGATTACTTACATGTATGTATGTGTTCGTATAGCTACCGACTGAACAGGCATACTCACATTCATCAGTATGTGAGATTACTTACATGTATGTGAATGTATAGCTACCGACTGAACAGGCATACTCACATGTATCAGTATGTTAGATTACTTACATTATGTGTACATATAGCTACCGACTAAAGTCATACTCACATGCATCAGTATGTTACACTACTTACAAGTATTTGAACGTATAGCTACCGACTGAATAGGCATACCTACCTACATACATCAGTATGTTTACATGCAGGAATGTGTACCTATCAGATTACTTAATGTATGTGTACGTTTAGCTACCAGCTGCAACAGGAAGAGGGGAGGCATGGGCGTATGTAGTCAGGCATGTATCGTATCCGTCCGGGTTCATTCAAATTTAGGTTTTCAATTAATTAAAGAAACTGGGAAAGATGGTGAAACGATAAACGGA